GCAAGTGACGTGGCTGTGGGGGCCGTTTTACTACAACAAAACCAACAGGGGTTACTGCAGCCCTGCGCATATACGTCCCGCAAATTTACTACGACGGAGCGAGGGTGGGCTATTTGGGGAAAAGAAGCATTTGCCGTCAAATGGGCACTGGTGACATGGCGGCATTTGTTAGAAGGCTCCCCTCGACCATTTGAGGTGTGGACTGATCACCGGAACCTAGAAGCGCTACAAAAGCCATGGCGCTTATCACCGAAACATGTCCGGTGGGCCCAATATTTTACTCGATTCCGTTCTACCCTGAAATATGTACCGGGATATGTACAGGGCCTTCAGGAAGCCGAAATGTCCTGCCTGCTTGGCGTCGTGGCATCTTTTAAGGACGGTTAAACGTAACTCCTCAGGCAGCTTGACCTTATGCCATCCTGCCAGGAGGCTGAGTCCAGCCAACAGCCCCTGGACCACTGGACCAGGCCACCTGGACCAAAGGCCCTGCAGAACCCAGCCCAGAGATAGCAGGCCCTGTTGTCACTGCATCCCCCAGGTGGGGCAGCCGGAGCCGAAGACTGCTTAGTCGAAACTGCGACGTATCCGCCCGTCCAGAGGTGCCGTCCGACCACTGCCTCAAGGCGAAGCCCTGGCAGCTGCCTTCACCGAACCGTTCACGGAGGACGTCCAATGTATACTCCCCTGGAGCAGTGGAGTAGCTCCATTCCTCTTCGTCATCTCCTGTTAACCGTCTTTCCCTCCATCCCAGCAGGGATGATCTACCCGGTGGGTTACAAGGCCTACCGGTCTCCAGAGATGTTAACGCTGGGCTCTGCCACCATTCTTCCCTCGGCTTGGAGACCTCAGCATCCTTGGCCGCTGCCAAAGGACCAGGCACCTGGGTGGTCTTGGGCCTCACCACCGGTTGCTCTTCCCCTGTCACGGCTATCTGGACAGAGTCTGCTGGGACAACCGCTGCAGCACCAGCCACTGCAATGTCCTCTACCTGAGGAGCGTCCTGCGTCCCCTCCGCCATTCCCCAGAGCTGAGGTAAGGGCAGAAGGTAGCAAAGAGAAGGGGGAGTGCTGACTTACTGTCAATCCAAGTCCTTAGTCGTCCGGAATGAAAACCAGGAACGCAGGAACTCAGTGCACGTCAGGAAGTTTATTCACTGCCTAACTAACAAAGTCAGCACTGGGACTGGTTTGTTCCCAGTGCTCTTTATAACATGCCCACGCCCACATCCCCACCCTCCGCCCACAAACCACCATCCGCTTGATTAGCCTTATAAACCCACCCTTGTGATCCAATCCCTCTTCCCGTGAAGCCCTGCCCCCTTAGTCCAGCGCCTGTCCCTCTGTCGCTGCCTCACGTCTGCTTCCCTCAGCTTTGGTAAGTGTGGCTGCTCGGTACAGTCCAGCCGGGGTAGTTCTCCACGTCCTCTCCTAGCAAGTGAGCTTGTTTGTTCGGCCGCCGGCCAGTCCCCGACGCTCAGCTGGCCGGTGGAGCATGCAGCACCGCCCCCTGTGGCTCCTACGGTGGCTGGCGAGGAGCTGTGGTTACGTGGCGCCGCTGGCCGGTCTCAGCTGGCCGGCGGGGCGCTCAGCGCCGGCCCCTGCGGCTTTTGCGGTGAGGAGCTGCAATTCTGTGGCGCCACCGGCCGTCCTCCGACACTCAGCTGGCCGGCGGAACGCTCAGCGCCGGCCCCTGCGGCTTCAGCGGCAACTGGTGAGAAGCTGCAACCACGTGGCGCCGCCGGCTGTCCTCCGACGCTCAGCTGGCTGGCGGAGCGCTCAGCGTCGGCCTCTGCGGCTTCGGCGGCGACTGAGGAGACGTCGGGACTCGTGGGCATGGCGACGACGTGGACTGGTGGGGTGGGGTTTTCCTTCCATTCCCCCCCCTACTGAATGGCAAGCCCCGTGGGGCTTGACAGTAAGGTTTTCTTTCTTGCTCCATTTGTATTGTAATAACCCAGTTGAATTTATTTATGGAGGGATGGCCTTTGGGAATAGTTGGCACAGCAAGTACTGAACACCTTGGACTTCGGTCTGATGGGAGAGAAAATTTATCCAGAATGTTTGTGTTGTTTGTTTTGTATTAGCTGTGTGCGCGCGTACACACACACACCATTCAGAATTACATTGAGTCTATCCCCTCCACCTACCTTCAGTAAAGTTTCCCAGTCTGGTTTTTGCTCTGTGGCTCCAAAGCTTTGCATATACAACTTCCAGCAAATTCCAAGGGGGAGGAAACCAGGCCTCCTCAGGCAATTTGCAATTCATATGCCCTATCTGGAGGAAGTAGCAGGAAAGAGATCTCCAAACCTAAGCCCTCAATATCTTGCACTGGTGGACTCAGATTGGGAGTCCTAGGGCTCACTATGTGCAATTTAAGAAAATTTAATAGCCTGGCTTGCATACTGGCTAACCTCAATTGGACATTACAAACCTGGATGCACTGAACTAAGAGCTAAGGCAGGAAACAACCTTTGGAAATGGGCAGCCAGTGGTTATGTACTGAGGCAAAGCATGGCTGTGAAGAATTTTGGGAGGAATGTGCACACCTGACCGGAAGATCAACATGACATCCAACATTTGAAAATGATTGGCACAGATTATTGGACACTGTAAATTTCTTTTCCACCTAATAAAGTTTTTGTCCTGACTTTTAGAACTTTATGGGTTGGAAGCTCCCCTTTTGGGAGCCACTGCAGGGATCTTTTTCTGCTTGCCTCCATTATTGTCTCCCCCCCTCCTTTTTTTGGCTTAACAATTTAAAGCTTGTTAACCAAGTATCCCTGATCAGATCAATTTTAATCTTGTGCCAGTAAAAGTGTGTTATCCACACTATTATGATACAAAGGGGGGATTGTGGGAAGTAACACGGTTGTTAAGTGAATCTAGCTTCCTCATTGATTTTGCTTGTCAAAAGGTTGTAAAAGATGATCACATGATCTTGGGAAACAGCAACCGTCATAAGTATGAACCAGTTGCCAAGCATCTGATTTTTTTTTCTTTTCTTTTTTTAATAATTTTTTATTATTTGTAACATTTTTTAAATTAGATTATAGAATAAAATACAAAAATATAAAAGCAAATAGTAGGACACAGTGGGGAGGGAAAGAAAAATGGAGAAGGGAAAAAGAACAGACTTCCTCTGTTGCAGTAGAATGAAGCATTAACATTGAACCTCAACTTTTTACTTTTCCACTGTAATATAAACTAGCCATTTCTATAACAACAAATCAATCTAATCAGCAAAACCCAAAATCAAAGTTTCATTTTCTTCCACCTCAAGCACAAAATCCAGAAGCAGTCTTCATGTAGAAACGAAAGTATTTATATTCTTTTTTTTAATCAAAACAAGTCAATTTAGCCATCTCTGCCAGCTCCATCAGCTTCTGTAGCCATTTGTCCATAGTGGGAATCGAAATGTCCTTCCATTTTTGTGCAAACAATGGTCTTGCTGCTGTCAACGTACTTTAAGGTCAAAGTTCCCCCAAAATTTTTTCCAAGTCTTTTTCCATTATACCCAGAAGAAAAATTTCTGGTTTCATCTTTATCGTTTACTTCAGTGGTTCTCAACCTGTGGGTCGGGACCCCATTTGGGGTCGAATGACCATTTCACGGGGGTTGCCAAACAACACAGTCCGCCATTTTTCCCCCTTTTCCTTAGCTGTGGTACTCCCTTTTATTCTATTGGCTTTTGAAAGCCAATAGAATAGACTCTCTTGAATAGAGTCTAATTCTATTGGCTTTCAAAAGCCAATAGGAATTGTCCAGGCTGTCTCTGCCCTGCAGAGCCCGCCAAAAGTCCCATTCTGCAAACGGTGCTGCACCAGTTGAGTAGTCCTCGACTTACAACCAGTTGGGGGGTCGCGGCATTAAAAAGGTTGAGAACCACTGGTTTACTTTAAGAAGTTTCTGTATCGCATGTCCACCATAAGGGATAAAAGGTCTTCTTTTGCACTTACATTCATTTGAAATACCCTTATACATTCTAGATAACTTAACCAGCGGTACATCTTATGAAAGTTTTCTTTTAAATTATAATTTAATGTGAATCTTAAGTTTTTCGTCCTCATATTCTCCCATTGTTCCAGCATTATATTATATACAAAGTTGCTTGCCCACTGAATCAAAACAATGTTTTACATTTCACTTTCCAAATTCAGTTTCAATAACCTTTTATAAACCTTAACGACGCCAAGCGTCTGATTTTTGATCCCATGAACAGGGGGATGCCACAAAAGTAAATGGTCACAAGTCACTTTTTTCAGAGCCTTTGTAACTTTGATCGGTCACTAAATGATCTGTTGTAAATCGAGGACTACCTGTACAACTGATGTACAACAACGTTCAGTTCAGCAATGCATTTGCACGAAGCTCTAAGCTAAAGAGGGCAGTTAGCAAACCCGAAGCGTTCCTCCCCTCCCTGTTCACACGTAGCTCTATAATCAGTCTCAGGTTGGCTCGCGGGCGCGTTACCTGAACCCCTGCGCAGGTTTCGCATCTCTCGGGAAGATCCCGGGCCCGGATAGTGTCTTTCAACGCCACCTACTCGCAGAGTGGTTCCCAGAAAGCTCCCAGTGCGGCCGCCCGGAAATCTTGGAGAAGAAGCAGGCAGCGCAAAATAATGTAAATCCGATTTAATCACGGATTTTCCTATTGCGCTGGAGTGAATTAGCAGCTTCCGAAGCAGCAGTCCAAATGCATGCACGCCTTGCATGCTCGCGAGCAAGTCTCCTTAAATCCAGGAGGATCTTCAGAGGAACCGCGAGGAGCCCAGCGCTGCAGGTGGCTGAGATCCACCGCGCCTTTCCTCGCCAGTCAGCCCCGCCAGGCCGTTCGCAACCGTGCTCTAACTCAGCCGTGCCGGGCGCCCCCTAGCGGCCGGCGAGGCTCGCACGACGGGCGGCAGCGGCGGCTTGCCTTTTCGCTCTTCAGGTCTGCGCGGCGCGGCGCGGCACGCGTGCGCAGAGCCGGTCTGCCGCTGTTCCAGCTGCAAACAGCTGGTGCGGGACCGGCGCGCGCTGATAGGCGGCTGCGGCAGGAGGCAGCCTTGCACTTGTGCTTGCGCGGCGGAGCCGTGAGCAGCCGGTGAAAGGATGCAGGCGCCCGAGCCTATGCCGAGCTACGAGCAATTGGTGCGGCGTAGTTACCGGAGCCTGGTCGGGGCGCTGCGGAGCTGCACAGATTGCGGCTGGGAACTGTCCCGCCGGACGTGGGCCGAGAACGCCCGATTGGCCTGGACGGAGGCGCTGCTTTTTCTCCTTTGCGCCGTCGGTTGGACTGTAGCGCGCCGCGTAGCCTCTCGTTACTTCTTTCGGGTCAGTAGAATCCAGATCGAGGAAGGCAAGAGGGGAATTTTCATCGGGGGGGGGATGTCCGGAGTGCTCGCTGCATTACATTCCCTCGTTGTGTATGGGGTGGGGATACTGCAAAGGAGCCAAGATGACCCATGCTTGCAATTGCCCGGGGAATTATGTGTTGCATTATTTATGGAATTACTTTGGGGAAGAAAAGACTGCCTTCCAATTTTTTTTGGGGGGGGATGAAATCCGTCACTGCACCATGCTAAGAGCTCTTTTGGGGCGAACGAAAGCGGATTATTAACTGGGAGCCAAGAGGGAGGGTGTGTGTGTGTGTGTGTGTGTGTGTGTGTGGTGTGTGCACGCGCGCGCGTGTGTGCAAGAGACCGGGTAGGAAGGGCATTGGTCCTTGCGTTGTTTTGCTCGGAGGGGAGGAAATTGGCCTTGCGGAGGGGCGTGCGTCCCTGTAAACACGGGGCGAAATGAGGTGGGGGGATTCAAATTGGCCTTGTCACTGCATTTCAAGATGGGGCGGGCGGAGTACGTGCTAGGCTGCGCAACGCGCCACCGACTAGACTTTGGCGAGGAAGAAATGGGCCATTGGGATTGCATTATATGTATATTTCCAGAATTGCGGGAAGGGGAAGCGGTGGGCCAAAATCCAGTTTTGCATGGCTTGAGAAGAAATGAATTAACATTAAGCAACCTGCCAGTATGCGCGTGTAAGCGAGAGAATGCCTTTGCACACATGGAGTGGGCCCAGCTGGTCACCGTGTTGGGTTGTGGTGGAGAAGCCGTAGAAGGCAGAGAAAGAAGAGGCTTGGATGCTGATACTTGTGAAGTGCTGTACCGTTCACTCAAAAACCCTTGGCTTCAGTCCATTTTTCGATCAAGATTGAAATAAGCCATCCCCCCCCCCCCCCAGTCTCAGTAAGTTTAAATGAGTTGGGGTTATAATCTGGGGAGGGATCATTTATAGCAGTGATTTTCAGTCTTGGCAACTTTAAGATGTTTGGACTTCAACTCCCAGAATTCCCTGTCCAGCATGGAAAAACCACTACTCGCAGGGGTAGGCAACCTTGGCTCTTTTATGACTCATGGACTTCAACTCCCAGAATTCTTCAGCCAGAATGGTTCAGCTTGGAAACCTCTCCGTTTCCCCTCAGTGTGGCTGGCTCAGGAATTCTGGGAGTTGAAGTCCATGAGTCATAAAAGCCAAGGTTGCCTACCCCTGCACTAGCGGAATGGTTCAAAATATTTTCCTTGGTCAGTTTTAATCCAGATTTCCCTCAATATACTTTTTTAAAAAAAAAAATAAAAATGGTCAGAAAATAGCAACATTGATTTAACATACCCTTGTGAAACTCCTAGTGTGCAGAACTGGGGCCTGTAGATGAAATGGTGACTGAGGGAATTCAGAGTGTTTTGCTGAAGCCTATTATGATTTTTATCGAGGCCAATAGAATTTTAAGGCACCAGGCTAAATTCTATTCCTGCCAGTCACTCTGTCTCTCTCTCTCAGGCCTGGAAAGGAAACACTGGCAAACTGCTTCTGAAAAAACTTTTTGGGAAAACTGCACAGATTTGTCCAGGCAATCATCAAGAATCAAAAACTGTCTGAAAGACATACACACCCAAACAGAAATCTAATCTCATGTGTAAGATGCTAAGAAAAAGACACAGGCATGTCGAGCAGAGGTTTGAAGCTATAGGACACAGCTTGACAAACTCTGTGAGTTTATTGCTTTTTATATTCTTGTTACAGACACAGCTTAACCATTAGATGCTGACATAAAGTTTCTTCATTGGAAAATACCTTCATATAAGCAACTACTTCCTAGTAACACATTACATGGTCAAAGACCAGGTAAAGAACAAATACAGGCAGATCAAAGGAGAAGGAACTAACAAAGACAGGAAAAGATAGGAAGGAACTAAACATATTATTTGTTTCGGTAGGTGAGGCATTAAGTCAAAAGGGTATGACCTGGCTGCTTCACTGAGACAAAGGGTATCAAAAGATTATGGGGTTTGCGGGGGGGGGGAGCACGGCAGTTTGCTGTACATGCATTTTTCCCCACACATGTATTTTGACAATCATTTGAAAGCAAAGATACTTTTGGGAAGGTAATCCGATCCTTCATTGCAGAAGACCTACCTCCTGGATGAGATGTGCTGGGCCAGACGACCTGGATATTCAGGTAGTCCTCACTTAGTGACTGTCCGATAGTGATAAAAAAAGTTTGCAACCATCCTTGCGTTCACAACCTTCACAGGTCTGTAAAGCAAAGAAAAGCTGAAGTAAGATTGTAAACAGTTGTGGCTTCACTTTCGTGCTTTGCTTCCTGACTAAGTTGAGGATCCCAGTTGTGGTCATTAAACAAGGACAACCTGTACCCCAGTTCCAATTTACTTGGTCATGAAGCCACAGTTTCATGCTTAATTCTCTAGGTCAGGGGTAGGCAACCTTGACTCTTTTATGACTTGTGGACTTCAACTCCCAGAATTCCTGAGCCAACATAGCATGGAAACCTCTCCCTGTCCCCTCAGCGTGGCTGGCTCAGGAATTCTGGGAGTTGAAATCCACGAGTCATAAAAGAGCCAAGGTTGCCTACCCCTGCTCTAGGTAGTAATATAGTAAATAGATATAGATATATAAATGCATTTATTTCTCATCTTTATTATTTTGACAAATAATTCAAAGCAAGCAAACACATCCAACACATCTTCCTCCTCCTATTTTGCTCCTAACAACAACCCTGTGAGGTGAGTTGGACTGAGAGAGAGTGATTGGCCAAAGGTCACCCAGCTGGCTTTCATGGCCAAGACAGGGACTTGAACTCACTCCCGCTTTCTAGCCTGGTGCCTTCACCATTAGACCTTCAGCCTAGAATCCCATTTCTAGTCCTTATGAATCTAAATGGAGGACTAATTAAACTAGTATTATAATTAAAAGCAGCTATCCCAGCAGGCAGAGTTGACTTTGATTGAATTAAAAGATTAACCAGAATTGGATTTGATAGGATAGGAGACCACTAAGAAATCCCAGGAGTATAGTCTACATTGGTGATAATGGCAGTCCCCATTGTTGCCAATTCCTCTCTCCCTCTCACACACACAAACATAGACTATGGTTGATGGTGACATCTTTTCTGATTCACTTTAATAGTAATTCTTCATTGGAAAAGGTAGTATCAGATCCCTAGTTCTTTGCCTCCCCAAAACATAACAAAGTATGTGATGAGTCCCTGCTGAGCATAAAGTCTGCTCTGATGAAGGGCAGATGTGGGGAATTGGAGAATGAAGGCTAAGGGAAGCAACAGATGCTTTTTGGATGACAAAGCATGACAGAGAAATTGCAGAGGAAGCAGCTAGTCAGACTCCCTCATCCTTCTATGCTGCCTGGCTGGGACTCAACTCTTTGCCCAGGCAGAGAAGAGAGCTGGTTCTTTAAGGTGGGAAGCCTTACTTAGGGGAAGGGGGGGCAGAGACTATAGAAAGTATGGAGTTTCTTATATGCTCACAACTAAGCCTGGGGTGTTTTACTGAGAGCATTGGTGGAAGAGCAAGCCTCTAATTGCTGCCACCAGATGTTGACCTTGGATAGACCTTCCAGTCTGAATCTTCAAGGAAGTTGTTGAGGTGGGCAGCTGAGGCTCCAGACCTCTCTCTCTTTTGGCTTCAGCCTCTGTCTCTGAATGATTCAAGGGACTAGGGCAGGGGTCTTCAAACTTGGCTCTTTTATGACTTGTGGACTTCAACTCCCTGTATTCCTCAGCCAGGCACATGTCCACAAGTCATAAAAGGGCCAAGTTTGAAGACCCCTGGACCAGGAAGAATGAACTTCTCTGCATCTTTAAAAAAAACCCAGTATTTACTTTCTGTTCCTCAAATATCACCTAGCCACCATTGCAACAGAGCTCCAAGTACTTTCTATCATGGCTTGTTCGGGAACCTGGATAAAATTTGGAGAATGACTGGTCACCATGGGTAAAATAAAAAAGTTGGAGTTTGAGGTCCTCCTGGTATTTTTTGGGGGGGGGGATTGTTTTAAATCCTTTTGATCCTGTACCGATCCTCGCTGTGGTCTCTGTCCAGGACATTGGGTTCGATCTTCTGAGTCCCACTTAAACATTGAAACAGAATTTTAATTTGCAAGGTAGTAGCAGCTTATTAAACATGCAAAAAATAATAGTGTGGAGAATGATTTTGGAATAATTTCATTGAATTTAAATTTAATTGGAAGAAATTAAAAGGTGGTGCCTTTACAATTTTAGGGGGTGCCTTTACCTGCTAGCATATAGCCTAGTGCACGGGTTGGCAACCCATGGCTCCGGAGTTGCATGTGGCTCTTTGAGCCTTCTCCTGTGGCTCCCAGCCGCCATTTGCAAAGAGACAGAGAGAGGCACTTGCCCTTCCCTTTTCTCTCTCTCTCTCTCTCTCTCTCTCTCTCTCTCTCTCTCTGTAGAAAAGTGGTCTCACACTGTTCTCGGACAAGCTGACAAGCTTATTGGGCGGGGCTCCTGCCTTTGCTGTGTCGAAGCAGGAAGCAGCATCTCTCTCTCTCTCTCTCTCTCTCTCTCTCTCTCTCTCTCTCTCTCTCTCACACACACACACACACACACACACACTCTGTCTCTGACTGGGGGAAGAGGACTGGCAGACCAAGGGCAGGAGAGAGCCAGCCCAATAAGAATGTGTGTCAGCTTGTCGGAGAACAGCGTGAAGCCAGCTTTCCAGGTGAGCAGAAGATTGGAGAGAGGGAGGGAGAGAACTCATGCACAGCAGCCTCTATTTTTAATTAAATTCGTCAGTCAAGCTCCTCCCCCCTTGCGCGCACGCACACACAAGTTTTGCGGCTCCCAGTGTTTTCTTTTCTCTGGGAAACGGATCCAAGTGGCTTTTGAGTGTTTAAGGTTGCCGACCCCTGGCCTAGTGTCAATGTTGACCCAGGAGGATTATGGAGGTCTAATATGTTCCAAGGCCTGGGTTTCGTATGTCTGTGAAGCCCCTGTTGC